GAATTTGGTTAAAAAGAACGAGCAATAGTAAAAGAGCCATTATTGAAAGGAAGAAAAAGACTTGATAGATTAGGCAAAATAGATTGAAAATGATGTTAATTATGCTTAGCATCATAAATGGCAATTAAATAAGGGAGAAAAAGTAGAAGCAACCGAGCTGTTTTAAGTTGATAGTGCAGCAGAAGTTGCAGCACATCACATCATCTAGAAACAATTACCAGCTGTTACCAACAAGGAAAGCAGCATCTCCTCATTGCCCTACTGTCCAGAACATTTGGATGTCCAAAACAGCCAGCTGTGATGGCGCATGTCACTGGAACCCAGGATATCCAGGTTCTGCTTTTCGTTTTCTCCCAAAGTTCTGAAGTCAGAATYCTGTTCATTGTTTTCCTTTTCCTCACAGCTTTCCCAGTTATGAGGAAACTCCTGATTAATCCCATCTGCCCTATCACAGTGAATACATCTCACTCTATACAAAATACTTTGGATTGATTTCTAAGAACTATACATAGGACAAGTTAATCAATTAACTAATTACTCTTTTTTAAAAATTGTTCTGGTTTTTCCTCAAGAAAAAATACATTCCTACTGATGGGAAAGAAGAGAAATGAAGAGGGTAGATTCTGGCGTGGGCTAATCTATATTCCAAACCCGGCATGGACCTTGCCAATAGTAAAAACTGTATTTTCTCCTTGTTTTAATACACGAAAGTCCTTTTGAGAACTAAGATCTATGTTGGTATTTTAACTTACACAGCAAGATACAGAATAGCACTCGAATGTTTATCCATAACCACACAGGGCAGGAAGTCACTGATATAATCAGTTCCATTAATACCATGTTGATTTGACATTAGATGCAATTAAAATAGGACATTTTTATGCTGTTTCTTTTTTGTTGTTATTCTTAATGTTAGATAATCTCATCTTTGATAGGCATGTTTACTCCTGCAGACTTTGTGTCTCTGCACTACTGAATGAGGATCTGACATTCAGACACAAATCCAGCCTCCTGCCTTTTGATCTAATGGAGACAAACCTTATACAGTGAAATAGTAGACTGCCAGCAGCTCTTTCAGATCAATTTATCACTTTATATGGCATTATCTCAAAGAAGACACATAGAATCATAATGGTTGGGAAAGATCTTCAAGATCATCAAGTCCAACCATAAACCCTTCAGCATCCTGCCTGCTAAACCATGTTCCTAAGTTCCTGTCTTGAGCACTGCCAGGGACAGGGACCCCACCGCTTCCCTAGGCAGCCCGTTCCAACCCTTCACCACTCCTTCCATGCACAAATTTTGCCTATTATCTACCCTGAATGATGATGAAGATCTATTCTGGTGCAACTTGAGCCCATTCTTTCAGCATGTACTTTCTAGCCCCACTCCTCATGGAACTCTAGGCTTTCTCTCTCTCTTAAGCCTAACACCAGCCCTAAGCCTGAGGTCTCTAGGTCTTGTGCTGACTAAACAGCAAAGATGGTTCTAGCACTAGCCTACATATAGCACTACATCTCCTTGGGCTTGCCCTTGCTATTCTTTCATGAAATCAACATTCTAACTCCAGTGGTCTTTAAAATTACATATATACCCATATCTATATATATGTATATAAATAAATATAAGCCACATCTCATGGCTTAGCAGAAAATTGTTGTGAACAAACTGTTTATATATGGTGACTGCATTTCAAGATTTCTTTAAATAATTATGAGAGTGTGTCACAGCTAGATACAAACATAATAAAACACAATAAAAATTTCCCCTTTAAAATCATTCACAAAATCAAGCCTGAGAAGACTACCCTTGAACATATGCACACATATTTATTATTATTTTTATTAGATAAATATTAGACTCTGACTAAAAATTATGCCTACTGCTTGTTTATATTTTATCAATACTAAATGTTAGGGATCTTTATGCACAGTAATACATATAACAAATACCAACCACACAAAGTAAATGAAAGAAAAGTGGGGGAAAATGCACATAAAAATAAAAGAACTGGAGCAGATAGGAAATTATGGAAAGGAAATTCCTTTGGAATAAAGAATAAGCCTGTAGAAAGGAGAAATAGGTTGACTATCTGGGGACCTTTAAGTACAATGAAACTCACTGACAGATTAAGCTCTCAAACCAGCAAGAGCCAGTCTGTTCCTAAAAAGCAATTTAGAGTATTCTGATTGCTCCGAGAGGAATTAGTCAGGCAGCCAGGGATTTTCAGAGCATAGCTATGAGCCTGGGCAATAATGTAAGCTGGCTGCACTGCCTCTGCAGCATCTACACATTTCCCCTGCCAAAGAATTTTTCAACTAGTTATAAGCTATTCACCTGAAAACCTGCAACCCATTCCTATTTCTAGCACAGATGTCCTGCAGGACGGCATATGTGCAAATGGCATAAAATGGGAACACTTCACAGCTGTCAGGTTCAGAAGCAAAATACAGTGGGATAGGACTCACCAGCCCTCCCTTCATCCTTATTCTTCAACTTGATCACCAGAGGGAAACCCAACAGATGAGCCTGGAGAAATTCCTGGTCATTCTGGATGACTAGGAGCCTGGGTAYGTGGAGAAGGGCACCTACTTGGCAGGCTTGTCTGAGCCTCACGGGTCACATTGCACTCCATCACTGCCCTGCTGGGGACTGTTCCAGTCCTTCGTTGGTCTAAGCCACTTGCTGTTCATAATAATGTGCTGTAACTCCACATATGCCCCCCCCAGTGCCTTGGGCAGAACACTATTTCAATTTCTAGGTTTTAAGATCCTGTGGATAAAATTTCATGTTAATAGGAAATCATGTGGACCCTGATATTAATCTGCCTCTAAACAAGGTTTGTTCCACAGGTAGTGATTTCCTTTTTACCATCAGATGTGTATGGGGTTTGTTATTTGCACAGTTCCAACAACAAACCTCCACACACATCAGAAATGTAAATACAAAACTAAGAAAGGTCAAGAAGCTACACGTAACTCTGAAGAGAATTAAAAATTCCCCAAGCACTTCTTAAACATAACTAACTGTATTGCAGCTGTGCTCAGATACCAAAAAAATCCACACTGATGAGCTTGCCAACATGGACACAGGAGAACTGGGTCATCTTGCCCAGCTAGTCTCTAAATAAAACATCCTGCAGCACATCAACTGGAGACAGGAACCTATGATTTGGCACTGGCATCATTTCTGTCCTTTTCTAATGAAATTAGAAATTGCAATGAGCACTATTGGTGCTCAAGTAGATTGGAAAGCAGTTGCTCATTTATAAATCATACCTAATAATATGGTATCCAGAGAGAGTAATTTTGGTTTTGGCTTTTGTTTCCCATTATATTTCTTTTTAACTTATTCAAAACCCCAGTACTACCAGAGAAGAACAAGTATCTAAGCAAAAATTTACTTCCTAAGATCCAGGCTTTCTCAAAACAGCTTCACAAATATTAAGACAGTATCTTAATGTAACAATACAAAATTAGAAATAACATTTTTTAAAGGCTGCTTTCTGAGTCAAGCAAAAACACTTTTTCTTTTCATTCCTGAAGAAAGTCTGAGCTGCAATTTCTATTTTGCCTATGACTAAAATTATAAAAGCCAAAGTATCAGGTTTGGCCTTTCAAAAATAAACAAATATCCATTCAGTAAGATCAGGTTCTCATCTTTGTTTAGGGTGTCCTAGTCTTTCTATTTATTTTGCAAGACCACATGATGATTTTTTCTCTTTTTCCTTTCCAGGTGAAGTTCATTTGTAGTAGATTGCTTCCCTGCATAGAGGCTAAGTTTTACAGTGTGCACCGAGTTGCACCATCTACTACTGTGTGACAAGAACTGCAGTACTACCTCATGAAAAATAGACTCATGATTTGATAGCTATCAGGAAGGGAGTAGATACGCCAACTGGAAAAGAGAAAGTTCTTTTAGAATTTGGACATCTCTTCATCTTATAGTAGAAGATCTGTTCAGCTTCTTCAGAAGTAATTACTGAAGTTTTATTTTAGATGAAACATTAGTTTTATCTCAAGGTATTGAATGTATTTTTTTAACATATTTCGTGTAAAGAATATTTTAGAGCACTAAGTACAACTACTGGATTTCACAAGAAGCATTTCAAATTCCTTTTTTTTCCCMAAAAAAATCATTTTAAAAAGTGTGGGAGAATCTTTCTACTTTTAATATGGAATTCCTGTTCAGTATAAATATGGTCTAAACTATATTTAAGTACAGAAGTCTTGAGAACAGACTTTTCCAGTTTGGAGACTGGAGAAACCCAGCCTACTGCTATAGGGAAACCCACTTAAAGTGTAGAATTGTCAACTTCAATTAATTTTTTTCTTTTGTAAATTTAATGGGGAGATGCAAGGACTGCRTGGTGTATGATGGGGCTTGGCTCTCATTCTAGAGAACTACAACGAGAACTAGCAATGCCACTGTTTGAATAGTAAGAACTTATTTAAAATTTCTACATTTTTCTCTAGTCTGTTTTTCAATTCTAAGCAATTAATTACTCATTATCTAGATTAGCCTAATTAAAGTGAGGATGAAATTATACTTTCACTGGACAGCGGCATTCAAAAGGAATTCCTGTGTATATGTGTGTGTGCGTGTGTGTTCTCCAAAAGAGCTTCCCCTTTTGTTCATTTCTTTTTGTTCATTTTATTTTCCTGTACAGAGGGTTTTTTTTTTTTTTTTTTTTTCACTTTAGCCTGATTACTGGACATAGAGGCAGATCTTCTCCCTTCTCCCCCTTGCAAAAAATGCACACATACACACCACAACTATGGCAAATGAGAAAAGGTTAACTTCACTGGAAGTATCTTACATTTGCCACCATTCTAACAGCATACCACTAGCAACTACTGTGAATCAGCTTATACCCATTAACTTCATGCCTGGTAGTAACTTTTGGATCAGTTGTTGGATCAGTTCACTTTTGGGTAACTGAGTTATCTCCTGGGAAAAAGAGGGCCAACTTACCCTTTGGAGCTTTCTTTTTTTCAGATGGTGGGTACCCAGACTCATTCTGAGAAGACTGCTCACTACTTCACAGGTTATAAAGTAGCATGGTTGCCGGACCATCTCAAATGCATGAGAGTGATGCTCAGGTCTTTGGACACCTTTAAAAAGATGAAAATCAAAATATATTATATTCTACGATATCCTAATTCTAAAAGCAGCATCCATCCACTTTTGAATGAATAAGTTGAAAGAGCTTGTTTCGTCTTTGATGCAGAAATAAAATAACTTCAAAGTAAAGGAAAGCTAACGTGACAGGCAAAGCACTTTCTCAGCTCTACTGATCATCTTATTTAACCATACTTAATAAAAAATGAAATATACAAATTACAAACTAAGAATTCATGAATTACCTGTATTAGGGTAGTTCAAGCCTTCAAAACACAAACTTAAAAAAGACACAAGTATCGATTAACTAAAAGAAATTTGCTATCGTGCTTTATTTCATTTCCTCAGTGATACTTTTTTCATTGATTCTGATCTTGCAATCTCATTTAATTTTACAGTAGTATTGTCAGCAGTGATATAAGACACTCCATACATGACTTTTACTCTCTTCTGTGTTCAGAGAAGTTTGCTCATTTAAATATAAAACCTCAAAGGACATTTAAAACATAGATGGAATTCTGCTGCTTTCCTAAGCAATTAGATTAATTTAACTGTTTGTCTCACAGCACTCACTCCACCTTTCCTAAGCATTTTTGTTTGATTGTTTTTGTATACGATGATTGTTGCCTCAGGCAGCCTCCAGCTATTCACAGTCTTTTTACATCTTTTATTTTGATTTTGAAGCTTCAGCATTGGTGTGTTTGTTTGTTTCTCTCTGCTTTTCTCTTTCAGGCTTATCAGTTGGGGCATTGGCAAACTCACCTCTGCCTCTGCTTTCCCACACCATCCTTTGATGGGTTTCTTGTGCTATAACTCCTTGGTAGATTATGTTAAGTAGAAGCTTTCTGCCTTCAGACTGAGAGATTGCTGCCTCTCTTTGAAGGCAATTTAACACACACACATTCTACTTTGAAATTTGCACAAGACAGAATTCAGAACCCAAATTTATCTTCTTCTGTGAGGGGGCAATCCTGTGGCGGGTGGGCAGATCAGTAGAGAGATTTTTCCTCCTGCCAAAAGTGGTATTAGCTATGTTTTTGTTTGTTTGTTTGTTTGTTTTTAATGGAATTCACTTGATATTTCAGTGGCATGTGAGAAACCCATGCAGAAACAGCCTGACAGTGGTGACATGCCAGTACACACAACACATGCTCCTTGCTCCACTGAGAATGACAACTTCTTTCTCTTAGCAGTTCTCCCTCCCTCCCAAGATGGATGGAAACACCAGCTCAGCTGTGCTGGTGACCACTTCTGCTTTAATATATGTGCGGAAAAGGCTTTAAAAAAAAAAATTGTAATGATCTGGTGTTTCAGAAAGCCCTCTGCGCTGAGGCATGAAAATACCTGGCACCATTTTGCATCATTTCTTAAATGCAGTCTTTTCCATTTGTGCTGCCTCCCTCTCTTCCCACTCAGAAAAGAACACTCGAAATAGAATTCCCCATTCCCCTCCTCTGATTTCTACTATTTCATTGTGAAGATGCAGTAATACCAATTCTTAGAGAAGAACAGAGTTCTACCTCATAAAACATCTCGACAGAAATCTGCCACTCTTCTCCCTCATGTCCAGATTCTTATAAGCTATCTCACTAAGCACAATTACATGAATTGCAATGCATTTTGTATTTCCTATTATAAACACGTTGTCACTAACAAAGTTTAGAGTTGATGAGTCTAGCTTCAGAAGCTTTCCTGTAGAAGGTTAATAATCATCTAGGAAACAGAATAAGATGCATCTCAAATAAAAACATCAAAATGTCATTCCATTCATTTTCCATAAATGGAAAAGTTCAAAATTCTTATATGTTATTATGTTAAGAAAACRTTAGAACTTTTAATTTCAGATAATAATCCCACACCAGTGAATAAAGCATTCTCAAAAATTCACAAAGTGAATAATTTTAAAGAATTTAACAGATACTGTTAAATATGCAGTAGAATGCACCATTAAAACCTGCTAATCAAAGTATATTTTCCTACAATTTTATCCTTTTTAAGGGATAATGGATATTAAATGACAGTATTAATTCAGAATTCAAAATTCTACAGCCACATAGTAAAAAAGCCCTCCTGCACAAGTTCTATTTGGTTTCTCCTAGCACAAGAACATTTTCATCCAATGAAAAATCAAAGCTGTAAACTCTCATTTTAAATCTTACCTCTGTTGAAGAAAATAATAATTAACACATTATTCTCACCACATAAAGCGAACATGCAGATACGTCCCACTAAGTTGTTTTAGAGGGAAGAACAATTGCTAATTATAATAAATATTTACTGGTTCAGGCAATTATATTTATATTATGAGTCATAGCAGCTTCAATTAAGTCTTTAGACACACATATTTGTGTTTTTGTATTAGGTTTACCTAGCCTCTCTGTTTTCATTCAGAGACAACAAACCAGTTCCTTTTGACTCAGTGTTCCATGAATTCAGTCAATTCATAGGATTTATTCTAGGAAACAGAATACAGTTGACTTCTCCAGTTGACTGCAAGACTGAAATTGATGGATGCCTCAAGCCCATTCTCAAGATCAATCATTCTAAATCATGTGAGAAAACAAATGGAGCACAGTCTCAGTAGGGCTCAAATTCCCTGTTTCTTTCTTTTTCCCTAGGATTTTAATTTCATTCTATAGAATAAAATATTATTTCATTAAAATATTCAGAACAAATTATTATTTCATGTACAAACTTCATTCAAATATTCAATAAGTGATTTTTCATTTCAAGATAGACACAAATATATTTCTCATTCTGCTAATGCTGTTTCTTAAAGAAATTCTCTATTATGCTACCTCTTCATAACTCACTTAACACCTGATTAAATAGTTGCCTCTGTCCTAATGAAACACACAAGGTGTGATGACTAGTAAAACATCCAATATTTACAATGAAGGTTTTTTTAGAAGTTTTTCTCTGACAAAAAACATAACAAAGAAATACTGAGGGAATAAGTATCTTCAAGGGATTTTCTGGTATTTGCATATTTCTGTTACTCTGTTTAAAGCCTGGAAAGACAGAACAATTTCTTGGGTTTCCCTGCATACCTTCCTGTATGGAAAGAGGAAGGAACAAAGGAGTGGAAATGATTTTATTAGTTGGAGGATGTTGACTTCTATACAGGTCTAATCCAGTTACTTACTCTGCAGTTCCTGTTCAAGGACATATCAAGGCTAAATGGCTTTCAGAGACCCACTATTGTACTAATCTAGCTCAATGTCACCTGCCACCCTGAAATACCTGAATTATTTTATAAGATCTGCACCTACCATTTTACCTATAGGAAACAAAATGTTGAAAGCTATTTAAAGAAAAACAGGGCGTTTTCAATGCTTCCTTGGTAGCATTAGTTTTTCTTTAGTTTTTCTTATCTCCCAGATCATCTAAGTTTTCAAAAGAATTCAGCTTAGAAAAAATGATTATACTGAGGTATTTTTAACAGTACTCTTTTATGCACTAAACTTGTCTAAAACAGACAGTACATTGGGCAGTATAAACTTTTACAGTCCTGAAGAAATGATTTTTTGAAAAAATGTAAAAATTCCAGCAATTGCTTTATTTCCTAACAAAGAAAACAAACGAATAAAACAATCATAGTCAGAAGGCCTTTATACCCAGAACTGCTGTAGAGCTGCACATTTAAATATAATAATCATTTTGGACTTGAAACTCTATTGGGTTGATCAACAAAGTTTAAGAATACCTCAGCTTACAGAGACACATAAACTCTTAGGACATACAACACTCCAAGAACTGCAGGTAAGTAAGGTAATCCTGGAGAGTACTCCAGTTTTATTTTAACTATAGTGAAATATTATTTTAAGAAGTAACAGAATAGAGCAAATAAACAACTTGGGTATTTTATAAAATGCTAGATTTTTTTTGTGTGTGTGGTTGTTTACTTTGCAAGTTAGTTTTTACACTTATCTGCTCACTTCTTCGTGGCTTGTCTTAATCTGGTGCATATCACAGTAGCTATTAAGAAGACACTGGTACTTTAAAAGCAATTACCCGTGAGGATTATTAGAATATTGTGTGATAAGTCAGCGAGGTATCTGTACAAATTATTATTAGTTTTTATTAAGGATATGCAGTCATCTCCATTTGCATTGAGTTAGACATGTTCTCTGCCTGCACGATGAAGTACACACTAACTGCATTTCCTCATGTTTCTTCACTGTACTGCAGCAGCCCCTGGGTTGCTCACAACATTTAAGCATGTTGGTTTTTCATTTGCCTCCTGAGAGAATCTATCTTCCATCAAGGAAGCAAGATGTAAACACATTCACAGAACAATCCTCCCGCTTAGCTATTTAAAAAGGTGAAGATATCAAGAGCACTAATATATAACAATGGCATAAAATCCATAAGAAGGAGAGTAAAATGAACATATGCCAGTTAGAATGGTAGTTTAGTGGTTGTTCAACGCAGTGCTTAATAGGAGCCACAAGCAGCAGCTCGGAGTGCCGAGGAGGCCGTATATCTGGAGGGGAGGAAGCAGCAACCTGGAATCTCGCCGAGTGAATCACTGCCACCGAAAAGCTCCAAAGAGCCCGGGGAGAGAATACTGCGTGCTTAACAAGCAAGAAAAAGCTACGATGTAGTTAAAAAAAAAAAAAAAAAAAAAAAAAAAAAAAAAAAAAAAAAAAAAAAAAAAAAAAAAAAAGAGAGAAGGGTTTAAAAGGCAGGATGGCTGTTACTTTCCAAAGAACATATTTATTTTACTGCAGTGGGAACATATTTAAATAAATATGTATTAATAAAGAAGTATTTCCATACTTATATATGTTTTTTTTTTTTTTAGAAAATAAATCCTTTTGATTTGGAAAGCATGGGTTACTATTTGTGCCGCAGAGCCTGCAATGGAGATAGAACTTCATAAGAACTGATAGCTGTCATTTGCCTTTCTTTAGTATCTTCTAATTTAATCCATCAAAGGAATAAGCAACATTTTAATCACACAGCAAGGTCAAAGGAAGTATTTTCACAGCTTTACCTTCCATAACATTATAATAAGCAAGACCACCCTTTACCCCATTCTGTTTCTGTTATATTTTTATCTTGCAGAATAATCTGTGACCTCAGGATGCTCGGAGAGGTGTTTAGGATGAGCATTATTTCCTTATTTCATTCACTACAACAAACCTACACACAATCAGGAACATCTCTGTGCTGGTGTGAGATCATGAAATCTAATGCTTGTTTTCACTCATCTCCATGATTATGCTGCAGAGCTATATCTAGCAGCATTAATGTCCTAGGCATCATCATTTAAAAGTAGAATAGAGAATCACATATGGTGAACGTGTGTGCTGAAAAAACGGTCTTCTGTACTTTCTGAAGCAGAACAACTTGTCTACTGCATTTGAGAACAACCATCTTCATACAAAGCAGTAAAGTCCAAGGTCCTGCCTGTCAAACTGAGGGCATTTTTGTCCTCCAATAATTTTCTAAGAATTTCACAACTGCATTTTCTTAAGTATCTTGTGGTCATTATGACTACGATAGACAGCTCTGTGGATAAGGCTCACATTTTTTCTTCCTGTAAAAATTCCTCAAAATTTTTGGAAGAAAGCTCTGTTCATGGCAAAATATCACCCAGGTGGTCAATATGCCTTTAAGTTCTATGCCCAAAGTAACATACCTTCCAGAAGTCTGAGGTCAAAGTCACCTATAGAGGTTCCTGTCCTAGCATTATATGCACTTCAAAGCAGGGACTTTTTCTTTCTGACCCAAGCTATCACAGCTCCCTCCACAGACCCTCATCTGGGCTTAGAAGGGAAGTACCTGTATAGAGAGAAAAAAAAAAAAAACAGAAAAAGGCTGTAATATGTTTTTCACCTAAGGTTTGATTCTGAAGGACAGCAGTATTTCTCCTCTGTGTCTTGTCCCATTATGGAGAAGGAGAGAATTGGAGCCAAAAGAAGACAGCTTTGATCCTGGAGGATAGTTATCTAGGTTAATTACTTCAGCAGGAATTATTGTTATGAAGAACCATGTATAAATTGCTGGGGCTATGATCTTAAATAGAGTCGCTGGCCTGTTTGTGGCTCACCTTTGGCTCTACCTCATCTTGGTAAATATAGAAAGAAAAGAGTTTGAGATGAGAAGAAAAGGCAGCTCAACTTCCCCGCTGTATTACCTGTTATGTCATACAAGAACCACCTCAGCAAAACCTCCAAGGAACAGCATCAAACCAGTTGCTTACGGAGAGGATGCATCTTTTACAGTGAGCAGTGAGACAACAATTTCTTTTCTTTTTTTTTTTTTTTTCTTCTCTCCTTTTATGGTGGGGGGAGTCCCTCTTTTCTTGTTTGTAAGACTCGGGAGTTAAAAAGGGAGTTAAGTATTAGACAGCTGAATTTACAGTGAGATTTCTCATTGGAATAGAGTGAAAATATTCTGTCTTAAGACACTGCATAAGTTGTGACAGCAAAGACTGCATGTTTGGTAGTCATAATTTGCTGATGTTTTTCTAACATCTAGAGCCACAATGTCACATCCGTGTGACAGTTTCTTTGTATTTACAGCTAAATGAACACAGAAAGTCAACAATAAAGTGTTAGGCTGAAGGCAAACAAAAGATGTTTGTTGTCCTTTCATAAAGCTCCAAATTATGTGTTTTAAACGCCATCAAATAAGGCATACAATGTAATGTAGTTAAAGATGGATAGAGACTGATCTGTAGTATTAAGGAGCTCTTTAAAAAAATGACTTCCAAAAAAAAAAAGAATTTGGGAATCATTCTGCATGTATCTTACGTTAGTAAAAGATGAGACAATAAATATTAACTATTATGACCATGGTACTTAAACAACAATGACATGCACTTTGCAAAGGCTGATATTTTGATTAGATTGATGGGAGAAAGAAAGAAAATAATTACATGGATATTATCTTACTGAATATTATTATTTCTCTTAATGCAGAATTCTATGCATAAGTGCTTAATTACCATCTCAGATAAGCTAATCACAGATTTAGACAGAAAGTCCTTTTCACTAAGCTGTTCCCAAATACCTAACAGGCACAGTTGCACTGTTGACATATTTAAGAAAGAATTACTTCTTATTAAATATTTGCTAGTGCTCCGTTTCAGGCCCCCCGATACTCTTTGAACTACCAATACTGGTTTTCGTTTTATGTGTTTTTTTGTTTTGTTTTGTTTTTTAACCCATCAAAATCAGTAAGAAAAATGCAAGAGTTTCTTCCCCCTAAACATCTATTCATACAGTGATGCATTCAACAGTTTTTCTTGCCTTTCAGTTTAATCCAGAAGGAATACAATTCAGGTAATAAAAGTCAAAGTGTGATATCTAGAGTGACTGGGAGATTTTCCTCTAAAATGCATTTCCATTCTGGACTAGAATATTGAAGTAGATGTCCTCACAGGTAACACAACAAATCCAACAGCAAAAAATGATTAGCAAATAAAAGAAAAATGTGTAAAGCAGCACCACCAAACCAGTCACGAACCAGCAACAAACTGAGTTTTTCAAGCATCAAGCATCATTTTCTCCAAACACTAACTCAATCTTCTCTCACCAGCTGATAGCAGCTAAGGCACCACTTCTCGTAGGGATTCCCAGAAGCATCTGAAAGCCCTAAAGCTTTTTGAAAACAGATCTGCAGCACTGAACATGCGATCCCTGGTCAAACTTGTGCACCTACCCTTAACATCAAAAAAATCCTTTTAAATTTCAGGGATTTATCTTATCTACTTGCACAAATACAGCCTTCCATGGGGTTATAAGTCATTTTGCAAATTTCCTGTTCAAAATTGCAATTAGAAATTGATAAATATGGGTAGGTTCATTGCAAATAAGTTCACCCAACTGAATGGCAGATTATTTTAACTGTATTCAAGCAATATCTATCTCAGTTTTGAATTCATAGCAAGTTTACAGTGACATGAAATTACATAATCAAGTTAGTCTCTAATGCATCTGTTTTCTCAGGTGATTGTTCTGTATACCAAAAAAAATGTGGAATAAATGACTATGTATTATTCCAAATAAATACTTAAAAAGATCATTTTAACCTTTGCATGTTTTGCCTGCTTGTTTTTCCAGTAATAAAACTGTTTTAAGATTTAAGTAAACAAGGAAATTTTCAGCAATTTCTAAATACACTAAGACGTGTAGCTATTAACACACTTGCAACTTATAATACAGTCTTCAGTATCTACAAACAAAATATAATAAAAAGCCCATTGATTTTTTTTATTAACCCAGAGAGAAGTCCAAAAGGATTTACAAGGCAATTTACCTTAGAGGCAGCACAGTGATTGCATACGGTATCTATTTGAATCACCTCAGCATTAACTCATTACCGCATACAGACCTGACTTAATGGCAGAACAGGGTACCAAAAAATAAAAAAAAAAATTGTATTTTGAAATATAAAATCTTCTGAGAATTCTTTGGAAAGTCACTGAGCTTTAAAGAATCTGTATAAAACTGAGGTACTTTAAATTTATTACTTAAATGTCCTGCTTCTTTAAAAACAAGTAAGAAATTAAGAGAAAAACTACAGGAAAGGTACATTGAACATATTGCTTTTACTGAAAATACGCATGTCATATCTTTTAAGGCACTTGTGCACTAGGCAGAGAGCATATGGAAGTAAAGCACACTTCTTTCAAAGCTAATTTGGACAAAAGTGTCCAATACACTGCATACGGGCATCATGTGAAATGAAGAATCTGAAATGTCCATCTAGCTTCCACATACAAATCATATTTTACTTTCAAAGTCTGCCTGGCCCATAGCTTCCTGCAAGTGGGTGAAGACAGTGCAAGGGAAATACCAGCAACTCTCAGCTGGCACACAGACCTCTCAAAAGAGAAGGAAGATATCACTATAGCTAGATTATATTAGTGCCAAGTTTGACAACTATCCTGAGTTTTATACAGCAGCCATACACCATATCAGAATTAGTATAAACAGATTTTCTTGAGGTTGATTTTGAATGGTCCACTGATGCGTTTCCATCTCATACCTTCTTTATTTAGTGACAGAGACAAATGTGATGCACAAATCTGCTGATCCAAATTCTACAGCAAAATTCAATTCATAGATTTTTGCCTCAAAATCTACAGGTGTACCTTGGGAAGAAGTCATAAGTCTTCCACAGCTCACATGTATCCCTCCACCTTATTCCTCTACCAGCAATCACAAGCCAATTTTGAAAATTACATGCGCCAAGGCTATCTCCTTCAGGAGGCTGCAGGGAGCTGGTGACAGTCACTCTGCATTCAGGACAGCTGAACACTAGTTTTTAACTTCCAAACTCAGCTCCATTTCCATAGATAATTCCAAAGGAAGCTCTGTAGATTTCTTAACAGTATTTCAAAGAACATGTTTTGTCTCCTAACACTTCTTAAAGAGTATGTCCTTAAGAAGGCCCATAATAAGTAAATACATATGTGCACGCATGCGTGTATACATAAATTTAATGAAGTCTCTCCAGACTAGGGACGTGTTTTCACTTGTAAACATGTAATACAATTAAATATTGTATATTAGTAAATGAAATATTTGTAAGAATTGCTAGTACTATGGAACTCACATTTGCTCTAAACTATCACAAATCATTTCCATCTGCATATGGTCAGGAGTTTGGTTTATTCCCAGGTTTTAATTCAGAGACTTTTTCTGGCTCAGCTTAGTACATGAAGAAGGTTTGCATGCCAAAGCTGTGATTAACTTTATAGATGCAGTGGAATTATGGAAATACATCATGCAAAAGTGCGTACTTGCCAAAATTATTCCATGACCTTGTGCTTAAGTTGAGTTTTAAATAATTCAGTGATGTATTGAATGAATAAATTTGTGCTGCTTGTTACTCTAAACAGTCATGCATTCACTTTCCTTGCCATTTTTAATAAAGCCTCACTTTCTAATATTCATGAAATATTGCATTTCAATTAAATTACATACATATTGAGAAAATAGTTTGCCCTAAGCTGTTTAGTGTTGACACCAACTGTCATTTGCCTTTTCTTTTTGTATAATAACCACAGAGGTTTTATGAACAGGCAATATAAAGCACTGTCACACTTTAATGAGAAACTTTTTTGATCACATATTGCAAAAGAGAGAATAAATCTAAGCTACTTTGCTATTTTTAAAGGCTATTAATTTCGCTTAAATAGTGAAAACTCAGTCCTAACTTAAGTTCCATTCCTGGTTTCATGGATGCAGCAGCATATTAATTCTTTCGTTGTTTAGCTGTTTAGTAAAAGAAATACAGAATTTGGGCTTTTGAATTTTTTTTTTATAAAAGACATTTTAAAAATGAAAAGGTAATAGAAGACCCTAGCAATTAGAAGGCTAGCATTTTAATCATTGTAAGAAAGCAGAGGATGAAAATGCAAAATTTTAACTACAGCAATGCAACAAAACATTACTCTCAAATTTATTGCATGTAGGCAAGTTGATTAAAATCCTTGTGACTCAATTTATTTYTCTCTCAAAATGGGAATCCTGCCACCTTCTTACCTACAAGTAATAACTTGATACTGTCATATTAAGTGCATTCCAATAGTATAAATTTATCTTACTATACTGCCTCAGATGATAAAACTGCTTGCAATTTTATATTTAAATCCATACACTCATATGGTTCTTCCCATTTCACCTGATTGCATTTCCCACCATGTGGCTAAAATAAACAGCAAGTTCTTAGTAAGACCTGGAAAGTTCCATGAAGGGCTTCCTGCACATCACCTCGGTGCCTGATGCCGAGGATGCCGCTCTGTTATTGAGCTCAAGAACCAGCCTCCGCTTCTCCAGCTGAAGCCGCGAAAGCTTCTCTGAGCACTCTGGAGACCACGGCTGCCAGCAGCGGCACCGCTGCAGGGCGCTGATCTTCACTCTGCTACCCACCAGCACCATTTGTGAGAATAGTTTCAAAGTATCCTGAACTGTTTCCTCTAGTCACCTCAATGTAACTAAGAAGCCACAAATGTGTGCCCTGAAGCACTTATAATCAGCGTAAAGACGACAGCAACAAAATGATGGTGAGGAAGTAGGCAGAAAAGTACATGACAGCTGCAGAAGCCTGTGATTACGTAATTGAAGCTATTTCACAACATACAGAGAGAGTTTTAAATAAACAAGCTAAATGTCATCCATTAGTTACATTCAATTCAGGAAAGGAGGTTGTCTTCACCAGACATTCAAATACCAATGACTCAGACTATAATTTCAGGGAAAGTGCTAAGTGAGCCAGACCAGGAGCCTTCTCACATATGTCTTCTGTTTGATACTTCTGGGAAAATGTGCGACGTTACTTGGCACATACTTTCACGTTGGATGTCACTGACACAATTATTCATGTGATGGATGAACAAAAGGCTGAACAAAAATGTTCAACATTTTCAACTCTACCTTCACTTAACTTCCTTTAAGAAACTTTAGATGACTTAGTGTCAGAGAACTGCTCAAGAAAGAAAGAATTGATATAATGAATGAGAATAATATAGTGGCTAGACTGGACTCAGTCACCCCATTGGTACTAGATCAAAATAAAGAACCTTCTGAAACTTTTTTATATATAATCTTAGTATCAGCAGTATCCTTTAAGATCAAATAAAGCTTTGATTTTTAAGCAACTGCTACTTCATTACAAATCAAAAAGACATCTAACAAATTTTAAAAACAAGACAATATAGAAGAGTATAACTCAGGGCATAGTTAGACTTGAGAAGGTCAAATACCTTCAACGTTTGCTTTCTTTGGAAGTAGAAGGATTTTAGAATCTACCTCAGTCACTAGCAATTTAAGCCTAGACACTATCTTTCCCATCTTCTATAGTTTTAAGTCAGATCATTAATTTTACTTTCAGATTTCTATTATGCTTAAATGAATTCTCTATTACCCAAATTTAATGCTCATATTGTAAATTGTGCATTTTTACACAACTGAAAACATTTCAAGATGCATTATGACCCTTAAAGTTGAGTTTAGTTTAGGTTATTTTTAAAATATTCTTAAAGATTTCAATATATGATAGGTGTTCCAAAGCTAGTCCAGTGTCATTTCATCACTGATATAAGAAACTGTGAGGGGGGAAAATATAAATAAATAAATAAAAAGAACAAGGACACCAGCACAGCTTTAGTTAACGGAAGCCTGTATTTGGACATCTAACCCTGGGAATCAGATGTTAACCAAGCATCAAGTCGCAGCTCACCCTTCTCTCCTGACGACTCCCTTCATTCTCTGTCTAAGTTACTGAGGCTGCACACTTTAGCCTTGCCTTGACATAAACATTTTTGTGTATGTGATCGTTCTGGCGGCCTGCGAAGGCTTTTGTGTGAATACTCTTAAGAGGAGAGCGAGCGTCTCCCCTTTGGCTACAGAAGCAGTGTGCAACTGCGGCCCCGGGACACGGACTACGGTAGCTCCACTCAGCCTTTTACGCTGCCCTCCCGTTGCAGGATCTATAGAATATGTACACAGGCAGTTCTACCAGTTGCAGCAGCTGTCTCACAAGCAACAAAGGGAACAAAGAAATAGTATCTAACATACATACAGGTACTCTCTATAGAGTAAATTTAGAAGCAATATGGAGCTGCAGATAAATAAAGGAGGAAGATGTAAAAGCATATTAGCGAACACATAAAATTGATCCCCAAAGTGATTCCTGTGGGGAGAGAGAAAAACCAGCAACCTTGAACATCACATTCCGCCTGGCGAAGGACTTCAGATGCTGAAGATTCACTGTATGGCCACCAACACCAACCCGGTGTGACACCTCTGACCTGAGGATTCCAAGGGGTTGGGGAAGGCTGAGGGTAACAACTCACAAAGGGAGAGAAATTGTTAAGTGTTTATATAACAGCTTTAACTGTATCTTACTCTTGAAAAAAAATCTGTATAGATGTGTTCTTTCTCTTTCTATACTAATGACATTTGGTCTAATTATGATTCCTGGATTAGACTGTAAGGTTTTGATTATACTAGCAATAAATTACTGGTTTTACATACAAGTGAGACTCCTCTTCATCCATAAAAATGATTTTGAGCATAATAAGATGATTTAACAAAAGATATTTTATATAATACCATTCAGTTTTCCTGGCATTGGCTTTTACTCACAGAGGAAGAGGAAGGAAATGTTTAGGTTCACACGGTAGACAAAACCCAATCCATCACAGCCCTGCAATGCTGGCAGGAASCTGCCAACTCAGGACTGTGTGTGCTCTGCGCCGTGAGGGGCACGCGTGGCAGGTGAGGAGCAAGGTGTCGTCTCCCATCACGGAGACACCAGCTCATCACCACCAGACACACAATTAGCTCTAACATCTCACTAAGGGGTAGTTCAAAAACTTCAATCTTCAATTTCTATACTCAAATTTTTATTTTGAAGATTCACAACATTTTAAAAGATTCCAAGAAAGCAATGATCTTAATTTATCTTATCTTTACAATAGTAAAGCTTCATGAAATATCTAAGGGATTAAGTTCAGGCTTCACAGAGGCCAAAAACAACACCAGCAAAAAGGCATTAATACTGCATAAACATTATTTGGGTTTTGTTGCTTTTCTGTTTGCTTGCTTGTCTAATTTTTAAAGTTAATATTGAGTGGTTTCATGAGCCTGTAAACAATCTGGCTTCACATTTTTTGGAAGTCACCTCTTGCTTTTAACATCTCAAGGAGTTCTGAACCAAAAGAGGTCACTTCCTAATGGTCATAGAGGAGGTCTATGCAATTTTTTTCTCCACTGATCACAGAGGAAATTTATATATGGAGGTGAGACAACATAAAAGTCCACTTCCTTTGCTAGAAAACTCTTCTGCAGGACTTTCCTTATTAAAATGTCTCTGAGGACCCAGAAAGCCCAATGCTTCTGTAACTCACTTGGACCTCTCATATTTCCATTTTTATGACAGAATAAGTGAAGTATTTAATATTCAAGTGGGATGAAGAAAGGAAGCCTATCTGAAATATCTCCACATTATAAAACTTTCAAATGTGCATAAACTAATCAAGATTCCTAATCCAGGCAATTTTATTTAAAGACTTGGGAGATATTAAAAGAAGGGCTACTTTGGAGACTTAATAACTAGCGTCATCAATTGCAACTGTAAAAATATTTAGGGGCAACATAATCAAAAGGCAAATAGGATGTCGTTCTCTGCAGAAATGCTCTGAAGAATATGTTAAAACTGAGATCCCATCGTTAAACAAATCAGAAAGATGGCTGAATGCATCAAGAAAGGTGGCAGCACTGCAGAAGTTAAATTCTGACAAACATGTCACGATCATGTAGGTCTTGCAGAACACATATGCCTCTAGGTGATATCTGCCTGTATCTCAAGTCCGTGTCGGCTCAACATTGTGGCATGGTGGCACTTGTTAAGTCAAGTTCAATATGTTCATTTTCATGATGTTCAAGTACGACATTTGAAAGGACTCAACATGGATCACGGGCACACAACACAAAAATTCAAAACACTCTAGAAGGTATTTTTCTTTCACTTGTAGTATAGGCCTCAGTTTAGTAAAAGTCTACTTAAAATATTAAGCATGTTCATATGCTCACATTCACATGCTTATTGAAGTTAACATGCTAAGTGCTTTCCTTATGTTAGCAGATATAATTCTTGCCTCTCCAGTGCAGATAGAATTTTTCCCTGACTTTGATTTTAAGACCAGGGATTTCAGCCACAGTAAGCAGTATAGCATTCAGAATATAAGGTAACAAAAATTAAGTGTGATCTCTAAAAATACAAATAGCTAAGAATATACTTGAAGTACATCTTAATAAAATCTAAATTAATATCAATTAATTTAACTGTAACAGAATTGTACCTGCAAAAATGGCTACTTAAAGTGGTTTTCAAAATGGTGATGTTGTTAGTTACTATATCATTGCTAGTTTTTCCATGTTCTATGAGCAATTCATATTATTTGTCCATTGAAACAGCAGAATAGAACAAAGACAGAAATAACACGCGTCTGTGAGAAACAGCAAGACACTGATCTCATGGCATAATTACAATACACTAAACTTTTGTCCAGTCCTCTGCTTTATTGCTGCTGGCTTGTCACTAGCGAAACGCAGAGAAGGCACACACAAACACACCCCATYCTTACTCCCATCCCAAACTATTTGAAGCTCTTAATTCTCATCTCCAAAATAAGAAACCTGCCTCACTACATTTATCCAGAACTTCTCTAACAAACACACTATCTTAATGACCTATCTGTCACTTAAAAACTCACGAGGGGATGACTGAACATCATTGACAATTTTTAGATACTCCCTCAGACAAAGAGTCTGTCTCCCCTGTTCTGCGTAGAACAAAGAATGCCACCAGCATCCTTAGCCACTAGCATATGTATCTGATAATCATATACCGAATTTAAATATGCCACTAGCATTCATTTGGTAATTATATACTGAATTTAAATAGCAATCAACCCAATGTTCCATAGAAATTATTTATGAAAAGAATTACGTAGCCTAATACTTGTCACTCAATCAAGAGTAATGCCTGACTTACCTGAAAGCAGCCATTTGCTACCCTGAAGTTCAAATTCTTTCAGCAGTCATTTACAATGTATTTGGTAACACCAATCACAGAAGCTGGAGCACTGGAGCTTTCATCAGCAGTCAATTCAGCTGACTTCTTTCTAGCATTGTCGCAGGAGTCATTGAGTCAGGAGTCATGGATCCTGACATTTGGAGTTTTTCCACAGAGCAGAGCAGCTTTTAATTGACATCATTTATCTGTGCATATACAAGAGGCATGACTGAGGTGAAGTTTCAGTAGTAAATCCAGCAACTGTCCAGTTCAAGGAATCATCAAGAAAACACTCAATGAATTTGCAGCACAAGTTTAGCTTCCATTGAACTTTATAAAATAAAATCATTTTGTACAGAGAAACGCACTTCTGTATAGGGCTATTCTTTTACGAACTAGCAATCCTCAGAATCCATATAGATTATACTGAAAAACAGTAAACAATTCTAACTGTAGGATATTGATGCCATTAGGGGTTTATTAGCTAATGAAAGAAACCATTAGTTTTTAATCATGCCTGACCTTCATGTCCAAAATTGTAATCTTCAGACCAACAAGTATATGTTATTTAATTCTCCCTATTTAGGCTTCTAGGAAGCCTAAGTATCTGAGTGTTGACTTTGCCACAAATTTATGTCAGATATTCCCTGCTGCATACTTGCTTCCCAACCCCAGTATCACACTCATCAAAAATGAACACAGAGCACTGTGGCTTTTTTTCTACATATACCCCAAGTTTGTTTCTGTGGGAACATGGTAAAATGAAGGGGAAAGAAAA